ATATATATACATATATACATAAATATAAATATATATATAAACATATACATGTACATGACGCACACATACACACGCACAAACACGCACACACGCACATGCACACCCATACACACACACACACAGATATATATATATATAAATACATATATATATATATAAATATATATATATTAAAATATATATATATATAAATATATATATGTTTATATTGATATAAATAGTGCACAAATACAAATACAAATACATACTATAAAAACATACATACATACTATAAAAACATACATACATACATACATACATACATACATGCATACACACAGACATGGACACGGACACGGACACACACGCACACATATATATATACATATATATACATACATGTACACACAGACACGTACAGTAAATCCATGTATACACAGACACGTACAGTAAATTCATGTACACACAGACACGTACAGTATATTCATGTATATACACACACGTACAGACACAAACACAAACATAAACACAGACACACACATATTTATATATACGTATACATATACATATACATACACTTGCATACACACACACACACACATTTATATATACGTATACATATACATATACATACACTTGCATACACACACACACACACACATATATATATAAGTTTATATATATAAAACTATATATAGAAGTGTATATATTTATACAAGTATATATATATATATATATGTATGTATGTATGTATGTGTGTATATATGTATGCATATATATATATATATATATACCTCGTCCCAGCTCCCGAGTTAGGAAGGTTTGAGCTAGTATCATCTGTCCACACCGTAGCATGCAACCCCAGCCCTACATAGGATTGTATAGAGAATCGTATTTAGCACAAATCCCTAATCATTGGTCACTATTTTAAAAGGATTGATTATATGTACCTAGATCGAATTCTGGTGCGTTAATACATCTTTCCCTGGACTCTGAGATAATGGATAAAGAATACCAAGTGAAGGTACTTCAGCGCAACTCAGCTCCAACAGCACCAGCCCACTCTGCAATGATTCATTCATATATGCCTTGTATCTATATTGCCCCTTCAGATGTGAGTAAAAGACATTGAATATAAACGCTCTACCTCATAGCATGTGAATATATTGTCAGCGCAGACAAGCAAACTGTCAGCGCATGCACAGACTCGGACCAAAGGGTTTACTGGCACCACACCTTCGCTCCATATGTTGAAGCCAAGAAGTACACATCACCAACATGTATATGAATATCAATATAGAGCTCATGTGTACCCATCGAACAGGGCGTTCGCTTGAGAGTATGTACAGCATATACCAGTGCCAAAGACGCCAATAGACAGAGTGTGTAGGTACCCAAGCGGCGCATATCATAATAAACTCCAACGGGGCAGAACCCCAATCTGTGCTTAAATTACGAACGATGATAAATGGCATCGTATGATCCTTGTATAAACAGCCGACTACAACTAATATAGGCGATATTGAATCCCATGATAATCATACATGTGAGTGTATGTATGCATATAAGTATGTACCTGATCCGAGGTAAAACAGCCCCCATTGTGATCTCGAATTGGAAAGTAGCCACTCCTGTAGGATACCCAGATGCGTGAGCGTACATCGTCCACGAGGTCTGAGTACTCGCATGGCAGGTTGTATGGGCAACCCAGCACCCAAGCAAGCCCATCGGATTCGGACGATAGACTATGATTGAGCAAGCCCTGCATGCGTATGCAAGTGTATGTGTCTATGCTAAAAGATTGTGGGTGAATATGTTTGCAAGGAATTAACATGTACTTGTATCAATATATTTAACATATACATATACTTAAGTATATGCATATAAATATATGCATATATATATATATGTATGTATATGTGTGTGTGCGTGAATTAAATATATATATATATATATATGTATACATATATATATATATATATATGTGCTTATGTATATGTATATATATATAGTAAT